CTCATCCTTCTCGTGTTCAGAGCTCACTGATGGCTTCCTCTGGCAAATGGAATAAAATATCAAGACCTCCCCCAATGAAGAGCCTTGCCACACTCTGGCTACTCTGTGGCCTCACCGTGCACCCCTCCCTACCTGTCCACTCCCTGCTGTCCAGTAACACTGGCTTCTTGCTATCCCTTAAACGACCCTCCAGGCTGTCCTTGCACTGGAGCCCTGCGCTCCCCGTTTTCTCTGCATTGAGGGCTCTCCCCAGCTCTTTGCCTGACCAGCTCCCAAGACTAATCAGGCGAGCTAGTCAAAGGCCCCCTGACCCCACCAAAGGTGAATGTCCCTCTCCGTCCCAATTCAAGGTGTCTCTCTCAGAACCTTTGAGCCACTTTCCTTTTCTTCCTTGTGCTTGTAACCATGGGACATAGGACTTTTTTTTGAGGCAGACTTTCACTCTGTCACCCTGGGTAGAGTGCCAGGGTGTCATAGCTCACAGCAACCTCAAACTCTAGGGCCTAAGCAATCCTTTTGCATCAGCCTCCTGAATAGCTGGGACTACAGGCCTGTGCCATCTCTCCTAGATAATTTTTCTATTTTTAGTAGAGATGGGGTCTAACTTTTGTTCAGGCTGGTCTCAAACTCCTGAGCTCAAGCAATCCACTCACCTCGGACTCCCAAAGTGCAGGGATTACAGGGGGTAGGCTAGGATTACAGGAGTGAGCCATTGCAGCAGTCTAGGACATAGGATTTTTCTAACTATTGCTTACTGACTTGGCTTCCCAGAGACAAGGTAATATGATTTGCCTAGTACAATGTGCACTTTTGGTCCTAACTTTTGAGGGAAAAATAAGGAAGCATATATGTGGATCATATGACTTGGGAGCAGGGGAGCCCAGCAGGCCGCTGAGGCCACTGTGCCCTTCTGCCTGGACCCACTGAGTGCAGGGGTTTCCAGTCCAGGAAGATCTGGGGTCTAGTGAGAGTGGGCCAGAATACCTCTGCTGAGCCCTGTGATCAGGGGAGAGGGTAATGACTTTGCCACAGAGAGGCAACTAGGAGCCCCATGCAGGCTCCAGGGAAGCACTGGGCTACCTGTGGGCCTAGTGGCCTCAGAAGCTCTTTGCCTCACTGGTCACACGTGTAACCATCTCAGCCACGGTCCCTGCCATGGTGGGGAGGGCAGAGTTCCCGGGAGAGGAAAGGGGCATCCTGCACATAGTGGGCAGCTGCAGAGGGCAGTGCAATCTGCACGTTTACTAGGGAAGCGATAGCCCTCCCCAGCTGTGTCTCTCCCAGCTGAGAGCTGGACACTTTCTTGGGGGCATTTTCCTGAAAGTTTGGGCCAAAGGTGGGTGTGCACTGTACACCGGAGCACATTACACACAGCAAAACACAGGGTAGTCTGTTTGGGTTACTGCTCTATTGCCCCTGCACAGCGCTGGGCATACACAAATAGAGTCATCAAACAGATGAAAACATACAATTGCAGAGAAAGGGCAGCCTCCCCAGCTGTGCCAGGGCCATGTGCAGGCAATTTGTGAGGTTTAGCTCATTGGACTTCCATAATGACCTTGGGCAGTGGGCATGCATACTTCCATTTTACAAATAAGGAATCTAAGGCTCAAAAAATCGAAGGGAGACCACACAGCTAGCCACGGGCACAGCCAGTTCTGCTGCCAAGTCTGCCTGTAGCCTGACCCCAGGTGCCATCTCCTGCTCCCTGTGCTCTCTGGCTGGCGTGATTCCAGCCAGGCTCTGATGGGGCTCTGCCTGAGTGTCCTGGTCATTATCTTCATCCCACAGTTTGCTCCCTTATGAGAAGTGACTCCTTCGTTTCTCGCGGCCTGTTCTCTCCTGTCTTCTATCCTTACAAATTCTGGTTTGCCAACCAGGACGCCAGGAGACTGGGATGGAGCAGTGAGCCAGGGACAGGAAAGGCTCTCACCTCCATGTGAGTGCAATTCCCTGCAGGCTGCCTGGCCTCCCTGGAGCTGGCAGGGCCTGCCCTGAACACAGGGCCACTGCTTAGGAGTCTTTGAGCTCAAGATGCTGTGTTTCTTATTGAGGCTAAGTTGCAAATTTCCATGTTCATGAAAGCAAACTAGTAGCCTCGTACTCAGAAGAGAAATCCAGCCAGTTAAATTTTGGGTCCTGAAAACATTCCAAACCAAGAATATTTTGTGGCAAGTGCCATCTAGTCTTTTCATCGGATGGCAAATGCCTTTTTTTTCTTTTTCTTCTCTGTGCCCTGGCTTCTCAGTAAAGTTGTTAATCTCCAGCAGCCAAGTGCCAAAGGCCCTGCTTCTCTTGAGTTATTAATTCCACCCCACGTACTGCTGAGGGCGAGGGGCCTCCCGGTACTGACAGCTCTGCCACGGGGAAGATGTGTAGGTGTATTTTGTCCTTTCCAGCCAGGTCTCCTGGTCTCCTGTGTTCACCTCTTTAAGTGCAGGGTTTTTAGAAAGTTCTCCTTATTTTTTGCTATCCTGTTCTGTCCAGAGTTAGTGTAAACGCTCACACTGTGGATTCCTCCCCTTGTTAGCCTTTTTTTTGGACTGGGGCTGGGTTTGAACCCACCACCTCCAGTACATGGGGCCGGCGCCACCCCCCTTTCTAGCCTTTTGTTTACTTCCCTCCCATGCTTCCAGGGGCTGGGTGGCCCTCTTCTCTCCGCACCTACCCAATCACTTCTGCTTTGGGAAAATATCCCCCCCCCACCAACCCTAGGTAAGTCCTGGGTGTGTTCCAGACCCTTTGCTGGGTAATTCACAGGAATGAATACCAGCATCTCCAAACAACCCTATAGGATGGTCCTCCCTGTTTTCCAGAGAACAGAATATCGGCTCAGAAAGGTTAAGTGAATTGCCTGAGGTCACACCGCTGGGTAAGTGAGTCCGGGATGCAGCTGGCTTAACTGTGCTGCTATTCTGCCTCATGACATTTAGTGCCAGTGTAGAGACTTCAGGGCAAAACAGACCTTAGGTGTGCATTTTGGTTTGATCCTTGGTAAGGAATTGTAGGCAAGTCATTTCATCTCACTGCACCTGTTTCATCTGTAAAATGGGCCTGAATTCATTTGTGTCTCACTAGATAGTTTTGGGGGATAAAGTGTGATCACAGCCAGCAGTGGTGCAGTCATCTAGATCTCTGGCCAGCCCACCCCACCTTGCTGCCCCACCACGTGGTCACTTGTCCCCAAGACTATGTTCCAGTGTTACCAGAACAAGAGAACCTGGACCTGTTAGACTCCAAGGAGGACAGTTCACCAAGAGGGGGAAAAGGGATTCTACAGAAGCGGGGAACTGTGGCCGTAACTGGCTGCATCTTCCTCATGCATCCACTGGCACACACACAAATGTACACACTGCTGTGGGGGGACACACACCCCAAAGTCAACCCCCAAGGGAACCAAAGTCTGTTCAGAAAACAAACTCCAACATGGTGTCTAAAAGAAAATAACAAAACAAAATCCCCAAACTTTACTTGCATTTAGCCGTTAATAAATAATTTACAGTATGTACACGCGGTGACACTCCACACAGGTCGCAGACACATGGACACAGTGAGGGGTCCCCACTTCCAAGCAGAACGTGATCAAACACAACCAAAATAAAGTGCTTCACTTCTCACTTCCAACATAGGGACCATCTAAAAACCAAGAGAGGGAGAGGGAGGGGCTGGGACCGAGCCCCTCCCACCACCCGTGTGGTTCTGGCAGGGGGAGCAGGACCTCATGGAGGGAGGGGGAGACATGTGCCACAGCCTCCTGGCCAGTGTATGAGAGGTCCCTGGGGAACAGCAGAGGGGCTGCTGCGGATGCTGACGGGTGGGGGCAGTGTGGGGCTGCTGGTGGGACCGCCTTGGGAGCACCTTTGGGAGTGTAGCCCATCCCCATGCTGGTCCCCGGGGTCTCTGAACAGCAGCAGAGGCAGGACTGTTCTGGGCACCCTGGGTAGAACAAGGATACCAGGGCCCCCAGCGGCAAGTCTCTCCTAGCTGTGGCCACTGGGTTTAAGGAAGGGACTAGGAAGAGAGGGTGCTGCCAGGGGTGCTGGGGCTGATAGCCCTTCTAAGACCCTGCTCCCCTCCAGGAATCCAGGCATAAGTGGGCAGCATGGGTAGGTGAGAAGGCAGAGGATAAGGGCAGGCCAGCTGGCCCTATCCACTGGGTCTGCTGCTCACACCCTGGGGCCCGGGCTCCCCTGCCCAGGGCCCAGGCTCCCCTGCCCAGGGCCCAGGGCCTTTCTGCTCTGAGACCTTTAGAACCAAGCACTCTGACTTTCTAGGTGCAGCAAGGAAAGGGGTGGGGTGCAGAGCCAGAGAAAAGCACCCAGCAAGTGCCTGGAAACCCACAAACCAGGGGCCGAACTCACACCCACAGGGTAGGTGCAAAGACACCACCTATTGGCCAAAATGTCATCAGTTTGCTAAAGATGCCAGGCAGTGCCCAGGTTATGTCCTAGCCCTACCCTTAAGGAGGCCCTGTCTGGGGACAGCCTCAGTGATCTGGTGGCTCAGCCGGGGTGTCCTGCTGGATTTGTGTGTGTGAGTGTGCTCATGAGAGTGTGTGTGTGTGCGTACATGTGGCGGGCACAAGTGGCCCCACGAATCAGTGAGCAGCGGTCAGCTGGGCCTGTCTCAGTGCATTGCAAGGGCATGGGAGGAGCTGACTGACGGTTCCCAGTGTCTCTCTGGGGGGTGGGGGGCTTCAGCCTGAGGGGCTGTTTTGCACATTCACACTGTGGGGGGCGGGGCGAGGGGAGCTGCTCTCCCTCACACACAGCTCTACTGTTACAGACATCACAGCACCAGTCACCACAACTTTGTCACGTGCACTTAGGGAGGGGGAGGGCTCACGCCCCAGCCCTTGCCAGCAGACAGCCCAAGGCCACTCTGAGGGGACTGTCCCTCTGGCTGCTCCTGGGCACTGCAGAGGCTGTTGGGCCACAGGAGACATGCCAGGCAATCTGCACCCTGTTAGCATCCCCAAAGAGAGCCAAAAGACAGCTGCCCCCACCCCTGAAGGCTGAGGACTGAGCTCACGCCTCCTCCACATCCTCTGTGCCAGCTCCTACCAGAGCACAGGGAGCAGGGTGAGGAGTGGCACCAGAGTGCCCAGGAGAGGCCGGGGGGCTTGGGACAGCCCTGCAGCGGCCACCCCACCCGGGAGCTCCCGAGTCCTTCCATATAGATGCAGTTTGTCCTTGTTGGAATGCAGCATCTTGACGTCCTCCAAGGCGTAGTAGGCGGCCAGCGTGAAGTTCACATCACCCGTGGTGAGGAGGTCGAAGACGCAGGCCTGGTAGTATAGGTCCTCCACAGGCAGCTTCTCCTTGCACTTGGCCACGGCTGTTTCATATGGGAAGGTCTCTGGGGCTGTGGGTGAGGGACTGGCTGCCGCCAGCCTGTGGGTGCCAGGGCCCTCCGTGTTGGCATGGAAGGCCTGGAAGTCGATCTGCTGGTTGAGGGGACAGCCCCTCAGGCAGAGGTAGAGTCCCTGGCTGTCCCGGTCCTCCACAGCATTGACCACCTCCTCGGGCATGCGGACTGCGAAGGTCAGGTAGCGGCCCACCTGGCGCACCACAATGGTGGTGCCAATGTACTTGGCCTGGATCTCCACGTGCTGGCCCGACACCTTCTCGGTGATCTTCAGGCTGTTGGCCCCGTGCTTATCTCCACCGTTCTTAGAGCCGTCGGCGAAGGCAGCTGGGAGCTCGTCCATCTCAGCCTGGTACACCTTCTGGTCCACGCACTCCTGGAAGTTCTTGAAGATGATGGTGAGCTGCCGGGGGAGGGGGCGGGAGAGTGGGTTAGGCACAGGTGGGGAAGACCCAGCCTCATGTTTCAGATGCTCTGGACTTAGAGGGCCACGGAGGAGCCTCCAGGACTCCCCAGACGTCCCTTCCCCATGCTGCTCAGCTCACTTTCACCTATACCATCATGCACTTAATAGTTCTCTGTAAAACAAATTACCCTTTTTACTTAAAAAAATTACTTAGGAAAACTTTAAATTACTACCCTAAGTAGAAAACCAACTCATTTACTACACAGGGAGAGGGATTATAAAAATAAAAACAAATAAAAAGTAGTCAACTGTGGTAGATTGAATCATGGCCCTCAAAGATTCAAAGGCCCTAATACCTGTAACCTGTGAATTGTCTCTTAAATGGTAAAGGGACTTTGACAATGTGATTAGGTTTAGAATATGGAGATGAAGAAATTATCCTGGATTATTTAGGTGGGTCATAAATGGAATCAAAGTGCCTTACAAGATGGAGGCATAGGGAGATTTGTCTACAAGGACAGAGGAGACTGAAATAGGATCACAAAGACAGAGATTGCGATGATGTCACTGCAAACCAAGGGATGCCAGCAACCAGCAGCAGGTGAAACAGGCAATATTTGGATTCTCCCTTGGAGCCTCCAGAAGGACCAGCCCTGCTGATATCTTGATTTTTAGCTCTGAGATTCAATTTTGACTTTTGGCTTCCAGAATAAGAGAAGTGCAAGGGCGAGTGCAAGGAGAAGCTGCCTGTGGAGGACCTATTCTACCAGGCCCCAAATTTCTGTTGCTTTACACCGCTTGGTTTAAGGTCATTTGTAACCGCTGCAATAGCAAACCAGTATGGTCTATATAACTAGTGTCATCTTGCACACTGACAGCACTGCAGCACAGCTCCTGAAAAAGGACCATGAGCAAGTGACTGAATGTGACAGCAAGTGGAATGGAGGAGAATGGTGGTCAAACAAAGAATGAGTGGGCAAAACCATTGCTAGCAGGCAGAGGCTAGTGTCCTGTGGCTGTCTGAAGGGGACACCATGCTGGGGCTCAGAGGAGGGCAGCAGGAAGAACTAGGAAAGGAGGAAGGTGCTGGTTGTCACAAAGGAGATGGAGGCTGCAGGCTGAATGCACAGCCCTCGCCAGGGCCGGAGCAGGGAGGTCTGTTTCCGCTATAGCTTGGAGCTGGGGTGGGGGGCTAGGGCCATCATTACTGATTCTCCTTGGGAAGCACAGGCACAGGTGTACCAGCTGCACCTAGTGGGCCAGGCACCGTGTTTATTACCTCCAGACTTGTGTGGCACTACAAGGGTGGGTGACATTACCCCCAGTTTTACAGATCCAGAATGTAGGTTCAGAGAAGGGCAGTGACTTGGATTTCAGAAAGTAGAATTAAACTCTGGATTTCTAGACTCTGGGTTCGTTTTGCTACAAGGCCACACAGAGAGGGGGACCTGGGAGAAGGACCCCAGAAAAAGCAGCCAGGGGAGCAAGAGAGTGTTGTTCCCTTGTTGCCTGTCCTAGGTAAGGTATCTGGCTGCTCCTTCCTCCATAACCCTAAACGGATACAGGGGCTAGAGATGTTGAGTGGAACTGGGAGGTAAACAACACTCCTTCCTCCATGCCTCTCCCAGGTACCAGCTGCTTTGCTGCGGGGACCTCTGGGTGCCTCTAAGGCCACTGACTCTGAACCAAGGGGAGCTGAAACTTGGCCTCCCAGCCTGATGCCAAGAAGGAGGCAGGGTGATGGGGCAAAGGTGGTACTCAGGCCTGTTGAGACCCTGTGCCCTGTGCCTCGTTAGGCCAGGCCATCATTTCCAGGCCTTATCCTCTCATCCCACGCTTTAGGTTACAGCTCACCCTTCCCCACTGGAAGAGGAAGGTCTGCAGTTGAAGGGCAGGGGGCTGTTGCCAAACGTATGGCCATTCTCTTCCTGGGCACGCTAGGAAGACACGGCAGGGCTCTCAGGGTAGAGGACAACGCTGCAAGGCAGTGAGGGAAGTCTGGGCTAAGAGCAGGGATGTGACAAGGACACAAACGCTTGCAGGGGGAGGGAAGGCAGAAGAGCTGTGGAAGGAGCTCAGCTCTAGCAGGAGAGTCACAGAAAGGCCTTGGGTGGGGTCTGGGCAGGTACAGAAGTGTCTGGCTGTAATTCCAGGGTGGCCGGGGGCACAGCTGGCCAGAGTCCTGTCCTCTGGCTGAAGGTGATGTAGAGAATACTTGTAGGTGCTTAAAGGAGAGGCCTGAGGACTAAGCAAACCAGTGGGGTGGCGAGAGCCAGCTGGAGGTGGTCCCTGATCTGTCATCCCTTGCTGCTTTGAGCGTAAAGATTAGGGGTGACCAGGGGAGGGAGTGCTGGTAGCCATAGGCACTTGGGGTCTCCAGGGGAAAGAAAAGACCCTGGGCCACAGCTTCCAAGGAAGAAAAATCCCCCTCCTTACCTGCTACTCAGGGAGGCAAGTGAGGGGACTCAGAGAGGTCCGTCTCGGCCTCAGGGCTATGTTGTGTCTGATGGTGACAGCCTGGCCCAGGGAGCCAGGGAGGGCACATTCTGCCTGAGGGGCTGGAGTACAGAAGCCAGGGGCTGCCCCAGGTGCACAGCTCCTGAGCAGTGGACTCAATTGCCCTGTCTCCCTCCCTGGAGGTCCCAGCGTAGAATGTCACAGGTGGCTGCAGCCTCTCCATCCTGTGTGGAACCCTAGATCTTGAACCTTATGAAATTACCACTCCTCTGCCATCCCCGACCTGTAGAAATGGCAACTTCTAGGGTTCAACCTCCTGCTTCTCCTTCTCTGCATGCGCCAGGCTCGACAGCTCACCCACTGCGGCATGCAGGGGCCGAGGTGGGCCAGGCAGGGTGGTCTGGACCGTGGGTGGTCCTGCCATTGGTGGAGATGGGGGGGCACGGGATGAGGGATACGGTGTCCCTGACTGCCTGGTGTGCAGGGCCACACAGACACTGGTTGGGGGGGGGGTGCTTTCCAAGTGCCATCGTCTCCCTGGAACAGGAAAGGCTGGTTTTGCTCTGGCTGCCATCTCTCGCAGAGACAGCCTCCTGGAAGGCTGACAGGCTGCTCGACTCTTCTTGGCACCAGTGCCAGGGACGAAACCACAAGTAACAGCATGAAGGGGGCTGTCGAAAGCCAGCGGCTGCTGCCAGCACAGCCACAGGCGTGGCCGCCGCTCCTGCCTTGGCTGCCCCCACTCCTTTCGGAAGGGGCCACAGTCTTCTCCGCTGCACAGGGTGTGGGCCGGGCCCAGGCTTCACCCACAACTACCCATGGAGCACTGAGTAGGTGCCTGGCCTGGAACTTGGGGCTAGGGGCACATGAGGGAGGAGAACCCTGTGTTCAGGGGGGTCACACTCCAGAGAGGCCCCAGACCAAGCTGCTGAATTATGCTGTGTGACACACTGCCAAGTGCTATGGGGGAAGCTAACTTATGGGGAAAGGACGAGGAAGGCACAGAACTAGCATTCCTCTCTTCCCTGGGCCTGTTTCTTCATCTGTAAAGTGGGCTGACCAGCACAGTGGGGAAGAGCATCCCATGAGTTGGGGAGCTGGTTGAACAGCTCACCCAGGCTGGCACACACTATATCTTGGATGTCCACAAGAACAGGGCATGAGCTAATCCCAATACTGCCAGTACCACTGGAGAGGCACCCTGTGTCAGGGGACAGGAAGACGTCTGGGTATTTGGGGCCAGCCTCATGCGCACGGAGCTTCTGCATGAGAAGGTGCAAGGTGGCAAGGTTGAGAAGGGGCTAGGCAGGAGCTGCACTGGCTCTGGGATGCCAGAGCAGGCAGGTGAGCAGGTGGGCTGGTAGAGCCTGGCTGGCTGCAGGGGAGGACGAGGGGTGCGGGTTCTAGTGAGTGAAAGAGTCTGGCAAGCCCTGAGGGCTCTGCAGGGGTGGGGGGGGGGCGTCACAAAAGCCTAGAGCCTCCACCACCTTGGAGCTAACAGGATCCTTGTTTTTATGTCCCTTGAGGCACCAGGCAGTGACCTCCGCACCTCTCCCACCTGGGGACTCCAGCTGAGATTCAGGGGCCAGAAGGGTGGAAGGTTTCCCAGTGCTCTGGACAAAGCCAGGGCCCCCAACAGCCCTCAGCACCCCCCACCCCCAGCATTCATGGCCAGCTCCCCTCTGCCAGCCCTTGTTCTCTCCTTTAGCTTGGGGGCTGCTGGGAGGAGGGGGTGACACCTAACTAAGAGGATGGCACCCAAGATGTGTCTGGCAAATGTTTGCTGAATCACTGAGCGAACTCAAATAATGGAGGCCCAGAAAACAGACAGGGAACGCTGAGGGGGCCTGACACAAGCCACTGATGGTTCTCACCTGGGGACCACAAGGCCCCACACCTGGCCTGAGTTCTGAGGCTGATTTGGCTGCTGATACTGATGCTGTCATGGTCTGCTCTCGGGCAATGCCTGGTTGAAGGGGCTATTTAGCCCTCAGCCTGATGCTATCAAAGGTGGCCCTTAGTCACAGTGGAAACGGCTGGTCTGGTGACATTCTGCTATAATACAGCCTCATACCCTTCTGGAAAACTCTACACTGGGATGGGAAGGGGATTCCCCTGCTCAGCCAGTTCTACTGCCCACAGTCCCTAACGCCACGGATTATAGAAGGCATTTGAAACATGTGGGTTGAGTGAATGAATGAAACACAAGAATGAATGAATGATCTACCTATTTGGCTTATGGATAGCACTGCTGCACATGTGGCCTCAGAGTGCCTCAGGCAAGAGCTGAGGGTGCTGTGCAGGAGTCATGAGCCCAGGCCCCTGCCCAGCCTTCAGGCCAACCCTGTCACCCTAGGCTGTGAGGCAGCAGCCCAGAATATTGTCACATTCAGTGCTTACAACATCCAGCTGCCTGGGGTCCATGTCCCTCCTAACCCTCTTACCTCCCCGTGCACCCTTACACCTTGTGTACCCCTCGGGAGCCTGTAGGATGAGACAGGGAGGCCAGGCACGGCCTGACAGGCAACCCCAACATGCTCTTCCCAGGAAAACAGATTCACTGCCCCCTTGTCAAGCTGAGAGGCCCTGAGGGGGGTGCTGGTGGGCTGGGCACTGCAGATGGCAGAAACATCCCCATTGCTGGACTCTGATTAATACCAGCCCTTATTCCAGCCAATGCCTTGTTCTCTGGCTGAGTCATGGAACCCTCCCTGAAAATGAGTAGGGGGAAGGAGAATCTGGAGTAGGGAGATGGGCGTGTCCCCTTGCTAGGGTGACTAGCTGTGTACATATACATGTGGCTGCCTCTGGCAGTGGCTCGGGGAGCATCCTGTTGCCCAGATGCTAAGGCCTCCTTGGGTCAGGAATGAGTGGCCCTTTGTGGCTCATGGAGCAGTTAGAATATGCCAAGTTCTGGAGTCACCTGGGTCCAAGTCAAATCCTTGGCCAGTATCCCCACTGACTGCATTTTGGGTTGGGATGTCAGTCTGCCCCATGGAGTCTCAGGCTCCCAATGTGTGAAATGGAGCTATGCCAACTAGGTGGGGCCAGCCCAAGGAAGGAGGAGAGGGGTCTGGCAGGTCCCCTGGGGATGCTCAGTGAAGATGATGCTTCTGGGTCCTCACTCCATTCCATCTTTCCCATTCCCAGACACTCAGGCCCTCTCTGCCTCTCCGTGTCCATGTGGGTAAACCCCCTGCCACTTACCTTGCTGGTGGCTGTGGCTGCCGAGCCAGGCAGCACAGGGGTGTTGGTGACCTGCACATTCAGGTAATTATTGTCGATGAGCGGCCAAGCACCCTGCACCTTGCAGGTCTGGAAGCGGTCTGTGAAAGTCCTGAGGTGTGGGTCCCCGAAGAGGCCACAGTGTGTGTAGTTGGGGGTGGCTGAGTGCTTATGGAAGCTTTTCTCATAATGACAGATCTCGGGGCTGTCCGAGCGCTCTTGGCTGTCCCCGGCCGGTGGGAGCACACGCAGGCGTGGCTGTGAGGTGGGGCCATCTTTGGAGCAGTTATGCTGGCTCATGAGGTCCTCTATGCCATGGACAGCTGAGTGGTAGGCCAGGTCGCCCCGGCAGGTGCGGGCTGTCCGCTGCGTGCACAGGGCGTAGGTGCGTAGGGCAGCGCAGAACTCGGGGGCGTCGTCCGACGCTGGGGTGTGGCTGCCTGATGTGGCACTCCAGAACTCAGAGTTACACTTGAGGATCTTGCAAGGGGAGGTGGCTGTCGGGAAAGCAAGGGACATGTCATCAGGGCCCAGTGACCTCAGCCTCTGCTACCCTCTGCAAACCAAGGGAACAGGTGCACATCACACAGCGACACCTCAACTGGGACAGCGCCCCTCACACTGCTGTCTGCAGAGATGAAAACGGTGAATAACTTCCCGCAGAGGGTAGTAAAGGGTGGAACCTGCCCTGTTTTTTTTTAGATTCTTCTGCACACCGTGTTGTGGCCCCAACTGGCCAGGCATGCATACCGGTACGCTCAAAGGACCAACAGGGCACCTCCCAAGCACCCAGCCTGCTAAGAAGTGGCCACTGTTTCTGGGCAGCATGACTGTGGGAGCTGAAGGCCACCCTTGGGGTTGCTGACGTTTATTTACACTTTCACGACCATCCATGAGAATTCTGACAAAAGCAACAGAAATTAGACAAGGACATCCCCAGCTCTGCCACTGTGTAACCACGGGCAGACTACTTAACTTCTCTGTGCTTCATACTCATCTGGGAGGTGGAATAACAATAGTAACACCCAACATGTGAGGTCACTGAGTGTTACATGATTGATCACAGGTCGAGGACGCACTGGAGCAGCAGCGTATGGGTCAAAGCTTACTGAGAGCTGCCTGGCATGTGATTAGACTACCCCTTGGCATAGAAGGCCTGGCTTCTCTGTGGGCAATGTCTCTGTCCTGACCAGGAAAGCAAGTCAGGAAGCAACTGACAGTGGGAACTTTGGATCTGCCCTAATTTTCTCTCTCTCTCTCTTTTTAAAGTCACTCACCAGCTTAGAGACTTTAGTGATAATTAGCCAACACGACCATGCCTGAGAACCAGGGCTTAAATACACGACTGTTGTAGCTGGACACATGGAACCTGTGTGGTCTTCTGGACTCTTCTGCACAGCCCATAATAGTCATAAGCAGCCACGTATGCAGACCTGCAGCAGGGTAGACGTTTCTACACAGGTTCCAGGAGAAAGGGGGCTGGCAGACCAATGGTGGCTGGAGCGGTCTGCACAGGGGAAGGAGCCATAGCTCCAGCCACTTCTGTCTGGGCCACTAACTAGGCTTGTAACCTTGGAAAAGTTAATTTGCTTCTCTGGTGCTGGTTTTATCCATAAAATCAAGTTTCGCATGAAACCAGAGAAATGTTTGCAGGCAGGTGAAGGAGAGAACACGAGAGCACACAGCCACTCCTGCAGACACTGGGGAAGGACAGTTTACCCTGAAATTCAGGCTTTCCCCTGATGTGACCTGTGCTTGGAACACTGCTGGAAAAACACTGAGACACTGCATTTCAAGTGGGGTCTCGGTGAACACTTTTTAATTTGAAAATTCATACTTTTATTCAAATGTGCATTAGGAAAAAAATTTTAATGGAAGAGCTCCAGAGCTTCTATTTTATTAGCTTTGTTTCCAAGAATGCTGACTCAGAGTCAGGTTAGCTACAGTAACAGGTGCACGTAGGAAGGGTTTTGTAGCAGGTATGTGGGCCGCACCAGTGAGACCCTTGCTCCCACAGAAGCATCCTCCTTGCATGGCAGCTAGGAGACTCTCTTGCCCTGCTGTCTTCACATCTCACCAACCTGGGGAAGATGCCCAAGGGCCCAACCAACCTGTGTGCTGCACACTGTTACCAATGCCTGCGTGGGAAAAGGCAGAGGCCCAGGAAGGCCTCTCAGGTGGAAGTAAGAGGGGTGGGTATGGGGCAGGCTGCTATGCAGAACAAGCACCCGGAGGGACCCGGCACACAGGGACTGGGCAGTGTGGCTCCCAACCTTCACTCCGGCCCAGAGGCCCCATTAACCCCTGCTTCCGCCCTCTCAGATTGATGCAGAAGCAGACATCAGAGAAAAGCACCAGGAAGGGACACAGGCCTCCTGCTAATTTGTACTCAGGCGCAGGTCCACCTCCTGCCCTCACCACTGCCAAAGAAGGAAGGACTCTGCCTGTCCCTTTATGACTGGACCCAACACAAGTGGGCCTGTGCTGGCCTCAGGCTCTCTGGAGAGAGCTGTGAAGTCACAGCTAACTTAGCTGACCCAAGTCTGCAGGTGGTGGTGCAGGCCTCACCTCATTCGTTTCTCCCAGCACTCCTGCCATTCCCACCTCTCAGAGGAAGAAGGCTGGGCTCAGATAGCTGAAGTCTTGCCCAGGTCTCACTTGGTGGCAGGGGTCAAGGTAGCATTCAAACCCAGACCCAGGAGTCTGTGCCCCGGCAACTGCACGTCATTAGACAATCTCACACACTCTGGCCATTCCCTCCAGCAGGGTGGTGCACAGGCAGGCGCCACCATGGGTGGGCTCCAGCTTCTCTTGAAGGCCCCTCCCGTGACACTGGGAGCCACCGTCAGCAAGGTGGCCTGTGGTATGTGTGCTTGCCACCACCTTGTCCTAGCAGACTAGATTAGGATCCCTGCCCCAGGGGAGGGCAGGACCAGCCGCACACAGACCATGTGGGATGTCAGCTGTCCTGCTGATGTCCTTTTATAGCTCTCCCCTCCTCAACCTTACCCAACTCAACTCATAGTTTCTGGAAATTTAAGGGGGATCACCTTGGAATCAGAACTATCTCTACAGTCTTCTAAACTGGTCTCAGAGCAGTGTCCCAGTGTCTCCTAGCTCTAGCAGGAGCTCATGACAGAATTCTCACTTGGAGCCCTGGAAGGAAGCAGGGTGTTATCGAATCGAGTGGGCAGTGTCCGTTCCAGATGTGGCAGTTTCATTAGGATCTGCTGTGCACATGAGTCGTCTGGGATCTGACTCAGCAGGCCCAGTGAGCCTGGGGTTCTGCATCTCCATTGAGCTCTCAGGGGAAGTCCCTGCCATCCGCGCTGTGAGCAGTGAGGCTTCAGAGTTAGGTCACTTTCAACTGTCCCAAGGGGCCAAGTGAGAACCTGATGGAGGTCGGGCGTGGCGGCTCACGCCTGTAATCCTAGCACTCTGGGATGCAGAGGGTAGACCGCTTGAGCTCAGCAGTTGGAGACCAGGCTGAGCTAGAGTGAGACCCCTGTCTCTACTAGAAACAGAAAAATGAGCTGGGCATCAAGGTGGGTACCTGTAGTCCCAGATACTTGGGGAGGCTGGGGCAAGGAGATCACTTGAGCCCCAGAGTTAGAGGTTATTATGAGCTATGCCAACACCACAGCACTCTACTGAGGGCAACAGAGTGAGACTTTATCTCAAAAAAAAAAAAAAAAAAAAGACCCTGTTGGAGCTGGGCCATTCTGGAGTGTATAAATGGGACACTCCCTCTGGGGTGGGGACGGGGCTGGTGGTGAACGTCAGAGGAGGAGGGAGCTGCAGGCAGAGGGGCAGTGAGGGGAGACTGCTCCCCAGGTCCAAACACAGCAGGGAGCTACCCTGCCTTATCCCAGATGCAGAGCAGCCAAGGTGAAGGCCCCTTCCGGGATGAGGCCCCCTCATCTCTGTTCTACAAGGTCACCTTCACTTGCCCCCTAGCCCACCCACCTACAGGTGGCAGCAGAAGTCACTCTTTGGCCCTTGCAATCAGGAGCCACACTTTCCCCACCAACCAGATAGGATCCAGGACCCCAAGGTAGTGGCAGGGCAGGCACTGAGGTAGTGTCTGGTTCAATATCCCACTCTGTCCCCTTACTAGTAACTGTGGGAGCCTGACTCTGTCCCAGTTTCCTTAATAGTGAAATAGAGGTGGCACTGAACTAACAGTGGCTCACGGGGGACAACGCCCACACCCTATGAGGTCAGAGGTTGGTGGTCATGGGCAGAGGATGGTTAAGCTCCAGCCCAGGCTGGCATTCCTGGACTCTGGGGTTCCAAACACCTGACTCCAGGCAGCTCCTTCAATCTGCTGACAACCCGCACCCCCAGGCCCACCAAGATCAGTCCAGGACCATGACTGTTTGGAGGCTATACTTCCATGAGTCCCAGTGTGGCTCACCTGATCCAGAGAGAATACTACAGACTGAATTTTCACCCCCTTCAGATTCACAGGTTGAAACCCTAACCCCTGAGGTGGTGATATCTGGAAGTGGGGCCTTGAGGAGGTAATTAGGTGTAGATTAGGTAGCGCCCTCATGATGGGGTCCATGACTTTAAGAGAGGAGCCCTGGAGAGTTCATCCACTCCTCCCACCCCACTATGAGGACATCACCATGTCTGTCTGCAGCCAGGAGGAGGGCCCTCACTAGAACTGGCCACTCCACACTCTGACCCCAGACTCCCAACCTCCAGAGCTGTGAGAAAGTGAATGCCTATTGCTCAGGCCTGCCTCCCAATCCGTGGGGTTTTGTTACAGCAGCCCAGGCTCACCCCCTCTCCTTCCCTGGCCCTCCCAAGGCCCCAGTGTGGAGGCTGCTGGCATCAATGGAGACATTTGTTTGGCCAGAGTCCAAGGGACCATGCTGACTCAATTCACCTAGTCCATTTTTCCATCTCCTGACAACCCCCAGGACCTGTTTTTGCCTGAGGGTTGTCAAGGGCCTGGGACTGTCCTCCACCCCTATCAGCTTCTCAGAGGAGGGAGGGTCACAGAGTTGGCAAAGCAACCTCTCATCCCTCGGCCTGGGTTCCTTCTCTCACCCAGGGCACCCTGATTCCTGCCTGTCATAACTCCTTCCTTCCCCAAGTGTTCATGACACCCTAAAATGCCTCCTCTGCCCAGAGGTTTGCTGGGAGATGGTGCAATCAGGAACCTTGGGTCCTGAAGCACAATTTCAACAACGTTGCCTTTGTCCTCGTTAACAAGTCAATGAATAGACCTTGGGTTCTGTGTGAGAGAAAAATGAAGATACTTGCAATTTCCCCACCCAGAAAGAACTGGGGGAGAATTCAGTGTTCACAGCAGCAGGTGCCAGATTTTGTGTCATGGAGCAAGACCTCCCTGTAGGAACAGGTAGGGGTGAAGCTAATTGTTGAGGATATCTTCAGCTCTGCTGCCCTCCACTGTGTGACCACAGGCAAATCCCTGAGTCCCATGCACCACTGGGGATGAGGGTACCTTGCCATGAAGGTGCTAAAG